GTTATGGTTGATAGAGGATTGGCTTCTTTGACGATCACTGTTGCAACAGCTGCATCTAATTTCTGAAATGGAACTTCCAAGATCAAAAGTCCAGTAATCTTTTGGTCTGGGGGAAAGGGACCCTGGCTCAAAATCAGTGTCATCACTACTGCCACTTGTTTCATTATCACTTTCATGAGTAAACCCTAAAGCAGTCCAGATGTTGTGTCGGTTTAATTTAACAAAAGTGTATAGAGCCTTTGCGGTGATCTTGTTCTCTAGCTGCTTACTAAGCTCTGTCCAGATGTCCTGATTAGGAGTAGCTATGTTGCCATTTTTGACTATGGCCTCTTTTGATGAACACAGGACTGTGAAAATGGAATCCCTGTCGACTGCTGGTTTCTTGGGCATCTGGCATAAGCAAAACATAATTACTCACTTAAATAATCCTGACTCCAAAAATGTCATGTATAGTATAAACCTGCATTACTTTATTGGTCCAAATATAAGGATAATATAGTAATAATATATAAGGACGTTATATCTTATATTACTAACAATATGGTAATGTTGATCCCTAAATGCACAAGATATTCTAAAAACTAACATGGGTCATATGTGCAACTGTAGTTGGCATTTAATTGCTAGTGATATGAGTGATATAAGTATTAGCAATGAGTTTTGACAATCTTAGCGCACTTGAATGCTGTACCGTTGTTCTTGAAGTTACCCTTACAAAAATTAACCATTGTTTTAGTATAGTAAAAGTGTAGTAACCAAGTTTTTTTTTATTATTTGGCATATTCATTACCATTTGTATAAAAGTTTTACTACAAATATCATGGTTAAACTATGTTTAGTGCAGCAAAACCATGGTTAATTTATGGTTACCATGGTTTTATTTGTAGTAACACCATGGTTAATTTTCGTAAGGGTAACTAAAAATATTGTGAACTGACACTGTTAAAACATTGTACTTACAGTTACAAACTCAAATTTCTGGTCAATGTATCAACTTTTCCTCTAACTCAATTTCCTCAAGAGCATCTTGAACAGAAGTGTCACCTCGTGGTGGGAATGAACTCTTTGTAAACAAGTTCATCAGGTGAGAACAAAAGCGCTGAAGTTACATAACGCTACGACTTGATGGCGCTCGCGCACAAAACCATTTTAAGTGAGAGAGAGAAAGTGACAGAAAAAGAGTCTGACAGCAGATGAATATTGAGATTCTTTTAATAAACACCACAATGTCTACAAAAAACATTGATAAAAAGTTGTTGTTCTAATAAAACATCACTACAATCCAACAATTTGGTAAGAAATTGAATAAGCGAGGAACCCAAAATAAAATGCTAAATAAAAGCAAAAACGTTGTTACGGCACAAACCAGCACAAACGATTGAGACTATTTTGGGTGAGTTTGGAGCGTGTTGGGGGGCTAGTGACGTCAATGCCTTTAATGTAATGTCTAATATTTTAAAAACCAAAGCAGCACAAACGAAACTTTTACCTGCACAAACCAGCACAAACGAAGCACAAACAAACGAGACTATTTGGGGTGAATTTGGAGCATGTGGGGGGGCTGAGTGACCTGAGAATGACCTTTAAATAAATATTTTATATCTAACAAACCAAAGCAGCACAAATGAAAATTTTTACAGCACAAACCAGCACAAACGATTGAGACTATTTTTGTGACGTTTTGCGTTGGGTGGGGGGCCAACTTCACAGCAGCAGTAGACGATGCAGTGTTGAAATGCTGAGAAAACACTTCTGATTTTTGTAAATCCAGTGGTCAAATGCTGCGTGGCATCCCAATTTTCTATGTAATTATAGCCACCTGATTAATGGTCTTTATGTGAATGTCCACAAAACTGGAAGTCTTTCTGAGAGTATATAAGCGATAGGCTACTTTAGAAAGGAACATTTAAAAGATCTAAAAGTGGAATTAGGGAGAATCAATAAATTATGAATAATTTATTTGCTATTGTGTGAACAATGTGTAATCATGTAATCAATGAAAAAGTAACTGTAGTCTGATTACGAGTATTTTAAAATGTAATTTAATCTAATTACAAGTACTTAATTTTTGGAATACTCTAACTAGTTTTTAAATTAACAACACTTAAATATTCGACTTAATATCCGTTTTTACTCTTTTCTAGAAAACACAGTCATTGCATTGTTTATATACCGAGTAGGTTTTTCTTGAAATGTATGTGTGTGAAAACTTTAATAAAAACTTCCCTTATCCCCGTTTAATAATCATACCACGTTTCACAATTTAAAGTTTAAAGCACATAGTTTTGAACAGTTTCAATGAACCCACACAAAAACACTTTCCCAAACAATCATAACTTCCTTCGGATCATTGGGGTGGATAAACAGATGGCCGGGTTAGATGGGGTGGGGGGTGTACAGAAACAGGTGTCCAAACAGGTGTCCATTTATGGTAGGAGGAGGGGGGTTTATGAGGGGCAATAAATCAAATTTTTTTGCCATATAGTAGCCTATACTCTCTCTTGCGTGCTATTAATAAATGCAAATGTTCCTTTATAATTCCATACAACAACATAATACTGATCTAGTAACTTAACCAATTTCCTCAGCAGATTTTCACTGCATTTTAAGCATGAACTCTGTTTTCTCCAAGCAGCACACACACAAACACACACACCAAACAACACACACACACACACCTGGTGGTTTACCACAGGGCGTAGTCAGTGCTGTTTTGAAGTAAAAACATCAAATAGACGGTTACATTGCCCCATTACACAGCGCCCTGCGTGTGTCTGTAAACTCCCTTCACTGGGATATTTGCATGTGGCTGATGCTTGTGTGACAAAGTATTGTTTGTCTCAGCATGCTTTGTATATGCGTCAAAGCATGCTCATGTTAAGAAGTCTTATCAGTTTCATAGTTTTGAACAGTTTCAATGAACCCACACAAAAACACTTTCCCAAACAATCATAACTTCCTTCGGATCATTGGGGTGGATAAACAGATGGCCGGGTTAGATGGGGTGGGGGGTGTACAGAAACAGGTGTCCAAACAGGTGTCCATTTATGGTAGGAGGAGGGGGGTTTATGAGGGGCAATAAATCAAATTTTTTTGCCATATAGTAGCCTATACTCTCTCTTGCGTGCTATTAATAAATGCAAATGTTCCTTTATAATTCCATACAACAACATAATACTGATCTAGTAACTTAACCAATTTCCTCAGCAGATTTTCACTCCATTTTAAGCATTAACTCTGTTTTCTCCAAGCAGCACACACACAAACACACACACCAAACAACACACACACACACACACCTGGTGGTTTACCACAGGGCGTAGTCAGTGCTGTTTTGAAGTAAAAACATCAAATAGACGGTTACATTGCCCCATTACACAGTGCCCTGCGTGTGTCTGTAAACTCCCTTCACTGGGATATTTGCATGTGGCTGATGCTTGTGTGACAAAGTATTGTTTGTCTCAGCATGCTTTGTATATGCGTCAAAGCATGCTCATGTTAAGAAGTCTTATCAGTTTCATCCATGCAGATGTCACAACACCTTTTCTCGAAGCACCTCGCAGTGACTGTTGCATGCTGACGCGCAGGATTGGAGCAATTCAATTAGCCCTGGTGCTATTTTAAAAGGGTCAGACACTAATACCTACAGCCACAGCTAATGGAAGCAGTGTGGCAACAATAGTCCGTTCTCAGTGTCTTCCCCTTCACCGCTGACAAGACTGCCGCCTGTTCTGGAAGGATGAAGCATCCAGTGCGAATTAAGGAAACAGTTCACTGAGCTTAAGTCCGACAATTAGCCCAGCAAAGCCCGCATGATAGAGGCCCAACAGTTCTAGTCCGAATAAGAGCAGCTTCAGGGTCATTAAAACATCACCCTGGACTTCATGATCCCTCAGTAAGAGGCTCACGGACAAATCTGCACTTTGTAGCCTAAATGGAGTAATGGACATGTGACATGAGATCTGTTTCACATTAGACTCTCGTTCTCTGTTCACAAGCCAGATGAGATTTCATTGACTGGTAACAATGTAGATGAGCTTTCAGCGGATTGCACATCACATTATCATAGCTCCCATGTTGTTTTATTTAGTGTTTAAACATATTTTCAGTGAGCGTGTTATATATGTGCCATCAAATCTGATGAGGATCAGATCTAGCACATTCATTCAGCACAAAATTGACCATGGTAACTGTAGAATGCACTAAAATGTCATTTCTAGTTATTTGTATTAAATGGGAACTTGGTGTGGTGTGTTATTCAAGAGACAATGATTCTGCCACTGTGCAGATCCCACATTCATTTATTATGATTTTACAGTAACAATAACTATAGTATAATGCTGGAAACTATGCTTGTTTTCTTTCATGCCATCGTTTTTAAAGGATTAATATAAGGTATTCATTCATAGTTCATTTTGCTTTCTCCTCTATTCTGAATATCTGGTTATGCCTTGAGCAAAGATGACTCTTGTCCCAAACCATGCTTGTGTTATTTTTTATAGTAACAAACTAGGGCAGAACTCAGAAGTGCAAGAAATGTGCAAAACCAAACAAGAAAGACATTTTTACTTTGAACTTCATTGTCAATGTATAGAGTTCAATTACAGTGAGCATCAGTGAGCAATATGGCATTTAAATGAAAATAATGCAAGTTTGGTGCAAATTTGGTTCAGATATGCAAATGTGGTTCAGAAATACCTGCAAATACTGTGTTTTTTTAGGAGAAAAAGCTAAAACTTGTGTAATATGGCAGCAATCGTCTCATTCGATGATTATTAATGCTGTTAGGATGACTGATTTGGGTAACGTGTTGTCTACACAGCAATCAACGCGACGCGATGAAACTAGAAAGATTTTGACGCGACGCTCAATGTAATGTGATAGTCTCCGCCTACTCAATGACGCGCCCGCGCTGTCATCCAATCAGAACGCGAGAAGCTCTTTCCAGGCCCTTCCCCCTCGAGAAACGGTCGCGTATGAGCTGTATGTTCGCGGCGCGCTGCACAGTCCGGTGAGTCACCGTCCGCACTGGAATACACAGAGAGAGAGAGAGAGAGAGAGAGAGTGGCGGATAACGAACGGGAAAGAACTGGAGCTGCGAGCATGGCGGTCGAAGAGGAAGGTCTTCGGGTTTTGCAGAGTGTCAAAATAAAAATCGGTAAGTCCTGGAGCGCGCGCGTTTCTGCGCGAGACCGCTGTCCATATTCGGACTGAAATCGCACACGGTCGCGCTCTGCGCGCTCACTGTCTATTGTGAGAATATGTGGACATTTTAATAAAAAAATCACAAATGAATGCTTAATATGGTTATTTAGCTGTCAGTGCAGATATGTATAAAGCATTTGTATCATATCACATGGTAAATAATCTCATGTGTTTGACTGACGTCTCGGCTCAGTTTGAACACAGTGAGCCTCAAACAGCTGCACATCCAGATGCGTGAAACACTGATATCTGTGCGGTCAGATCGTTATATTCGTGTCTTAAACGTATTTTTTACTCACATCGACACATATTAGTGCACAGATGTGTGTGTCTCACTCCAGCTGTGGATGTTTAGAAGCAGCAGAGCATTTTTAGCCCTGGACTCATAAACGTTACGGCTGTTTGTTTGTTTTTTCAGTGTGTTCTGCATCTTGAAATCATTTATACTGGCATTGCAACAAGTAGAACATGCTGATGAAATCGTTCTTTCCGACTGAAACAGAAATGCATGTGATTTTCTAACTGGACAGACAGACAGACAGACAGACAGACATGTGTTCTGTGTTCTCAGTTTGACTGCTGGCTGGCATGTGGTGTGACTGATGTAAACACGATAAACACTGGGAAGATGCTCTCTGTACCATTTGTCTCTTTCAATTTCTTTTTGAGTGTGCGTGACATTTGAAATTGAACATTTGTGTTGTGTAGCCTCTCTCTCTCTTTGTGTGTGTGTGTGTGTGTGTGTGTGATGTTGTTCTTCTGTTCCTCAGGTGCATACAGGTCTTATGCAAGAGATGAATGTGTGTTTGTTGCTGTCATTGAGTTGTTATTTGACTCAGATTAAAGCAGAACACACACACACACAGACAGTCCCACAGGTCTAATCTAATCTCTGTATGGCACAGTAAAGGCACTGCGTCGCCTGGGCACGTGTTTGGCTCTGAGCGTCAGGCTCTTCATTTCCATATGGACCACAGTACAGCTGAACACGTTAGTATGAGGTCGAGTATCTGCTTTGCATTTAAATATCACTTACTTTGGGAGTACACGGACTTGTACTCTGCACAGTGACAATAACGTTGAATCTAATCTAATCTATAATGTAAATGTATAATGCATCATAAAAGTATTTTAATGCATTAATTATGCCTTGTAACACACCTCATAATGATCTCATGAATAACCGTAATCACAGTTATAATCCTTATCTGTTCATAGTTACGCCTTTAGAAAGTATAATGCATTAAAACACATGACAAACAACCAATTTCAGATGTAACAAGGAATCTGCAAATATTATGATGCATTCTAACTTTGATTACAATTCTTTATGAAAAGATATAATGCATTACAACGTACATTATGAATACCTTTATAATGCTTTATAAAAAAAGCTTCAAGTAAAGTGTCACCCAGTTTTCACTCAGAAATTGCTTGTAAATTAGTATATCAGTAACACGTTGAACTAAATGTGAAATTTTGAAGTAGAAAAACTGAAATAGTATGTTATACTTTTTTACAGTGTAAGAAACATGAGTTCTTGAACATAATGTGTTAGAATCACTGATCCTATACCAGGGTTATTATAGTTAACTAAAACTAAAAGCATAAAAAACATTTTATGTACTTGAAATAAAATAAACATGAACTGACATAAAGTAAAATATAAAAAACCTTAAACGTACTTTATTTCAGCTAGTTGCCAAAGCAACATTTTTCTTTTTAATTTAGTTTAACTTTATATGAAAATATAAATATTTCAGAATTAAAAAACTGTTCAGTGTCTCAGTGATATTAATTTTATTATTATTTTTTATTATTAAAGCAGTGGCTTTATCTCACAATCAGTGTTTTTGTATTTTTCCAAAAATATAATGCAAGTTTTTTGTGATAACTGGTAATTTGTTACTAACGACCACTGTTATTAAAATTAGAAATTCAACTAAATTTCAGCACTGTTTGAAGAAGATCCTGTTTTCGTTTATAAAATATAAACATAGTACTATGTTATTTTGGCAGGCAGTATTTGTTTATGTTTTTAAGTGTAGCAATTAAGTTATTCTCCACTTCTGATGAATAACATTTTGTTATTATTATTAACTCTTATAAGGAATTTACTGTGAAAATATCATAGTACCATGTTGGAATTAGATTGTACTTTGATGGTAAACTGAATCCCATTTTCATTTAATAAACTTTAATCATAGTACTTTATCCATATTACTGATTATTATGGTAAATGTTCGTAAGGGGAGGGCTCATAAGTATATGTTTATGTTTTTAAGTCAGTAATGAATGTGCAATTAAGTTACGTGTTTGTTATTATTATTGTTATTATACTTATTAATAACACTTGTGAGGCAGCAACAGTGATGGTATTACATGGTACTTTGATAGATATGAGTAAAACAAATCCATTTGTGCTTGATTTGTGATTGCAAGTGTTGTTTCCTAACATCTTCACGTCCCTGTGTGGCGGTTTGTTACTTTTAACCTGATTGCTTCACCAGCATTTTACAGAATTGCGCATGTTTTGGAGAAGTAGCCACAGTCCTGTCTTGGTTCGATGCTCCATGTCACACACCTTCAAACAGCAGAGGAAACCAGTGTATTCTCTGAGTGAAATCTGGTCTGTGGTAGATGTTATCGGCCGTCACACCCTGCTTTACAGAAGGTCTCATGTCCAGTTGGTTGGACAGATGTACAGTAATGTCTCGCTCTGCTAGTCAACTGTTGCATTGTTAAGTTGTCTTTGACTGATGAATGCTTTATGCTTTTTTCAATGCTGTTGTAGTTATATTGGGTGGAGAATCTCATCAGATCTGCGAGAGTTTCATTTTAGTATGTTAAATATCTGGATGGGGGCTGGCAGTTGACAATGAGAGTTTTGTGATAGCCAATAATACCAATATCAGTATGGCTAATGGAAAATATAATGCTACAAAATTCTCAAAATGACAGAAAATTAGTCAGTTCAAAGATACAAGACTATGAACTTAACAGTTAATGAGGGCAAAAAATATAATCCATTTCACTTGACATCCATTTTAAAACAATGGAGAAACTATTGATTATATAGATACAATATATTTACATTTTTTTCTCTCTCTCTCTCTCTTTCTCTTTCTCTCTCACTCAGTAGCTATGTTTCCATCACCCTATTTTAATGCGCATTTTGAAGTATCGCATCAGAAACGAGTGATGAAAACAGCAAATTTCGAATAAAAATCCCTTAATTCGAAAAAAAGATTTTACGCTTGCTTGAGGTGGTTTTTGACTTGTGCGAAAAAGGGTTAATGCGAATAAAAGGAGATGAAAACTAATTTGCAGAGTAAATTCCTCCATGCGCATCAAAAAATTAATGTGACTGCGCTTTGGGACGGCAAAACCTGACTAACCGATCTCATTCCACAGCATCTGAAATGTTATGGTCATTTTGAAATGTCCGAGCAAAGTCTGTAATCAACGTATCAACGTATAATTGCCTCCCAGAACTGTTACACGACTACGTTCCCAAACAGCAGCATCCACCTCCGAAAGCAATGACCGCATTTATTTTGTTTCGTCTGCTCACTCTGAGGTGCAAGTAATTTATATAGGCCTATGAAAATTATTATATTCAGGGGTTTCTCCTACTTTTTATAGTGATGTATAGCCTAGCGCCAGTTCTACCAGGGAGTGACGATTTTGTTCTCTTTGACTCGTTGGATGGAAACGGTGCTTATTCGCAAATGTTTTATGCGAAATTTCAATTTTGCGCATTAGTTAAATTCGCAACTTTGGATGGAAACTCGGCTAGTGTTGCCAAGTTTGCGGTTTTCCCACATAATTGGGATACTGATTTTTTCCCACGTTTTAAAGTTTTGACATATTGCATGCATTGTAATTGACTGAAATGCGTACACAGAAATATTTTATATTCTACCAATGATAATGCTGTGTTTGATTATTAGTTTTTTGAGGGAGGGCCAAGGCCTTTGAGCTCATTTATGAAAACAGATGGTTTATGATTGCTACTAGTGGTTTTGAAATTGTGTATAACTCATAACATTAGGGCTGCACAATTAATCGAATTTCTAATCGCGATTACAATTATGGATGCCACAATTAAAGGGGTCATATGATGTTGCTAAAAAGAACATTATTTTGTGTATTTGGTGTAATGAAATGTTGCATATGGAGACTGACTCAGTTACATCATTCATATTGCTTTTGGTGCGATTTGCTTGTTTCGATTCTCTGATTGGTGGAGTTTTTTTGAAGAGTCACAAGTAATTGGATTTCCACTGGTAAGCACAATTATTTAAAAAAATGGATGGCTTCAACTGAAGCAAATACCACCAGTTAACAACCGTGTAGTTCACGGTAGGTCTGTCTTTAACAGGTTATGAGTTATTGTTAAAAATCAATTCCCCTACGGTGAAAATGAATGGGATTTGTACATCTGTTGTGCTGTATAACAACTGTTTACAAACATGTTTTCAAACACCCATCTGTCATTGGTCAGTCAGTTAGATAACCCACAGATAACTCATGTGATTGGTTGAGTCTGAAGTTGACATGTCACTCAATCAAACAGATCAGTGTGAAAATATCAGTGTTTAACTCTTCAGGAATTAAACTGATGACTGATTTACAGTGAAACTGACACAACACGAACCAAATTAAAGTTATTTGCCACATGCACACACAGTTGCACACATAGACAATAAAGGGATTTTTCTGAAGGTCAGGTCATGTTTAAATACTCTTTGTTGAACTGGCATCCTTAAATCCTGACATCTCTTGTGCACAATGCATTATGGGTGTTTGTGGAGTGCTTCTGTGAATAATGGTGTCACGGTTAGCAGACTAAGATCAGGCTGACGTGTTGACGGAAGGAAGCAGAGGCTCGCCGCATGTTCGCATACATATATGGAGTTTCCTGATGGAGCTCGTGTCTAGAGGAAACGC